GAACCAAATCCCAAGTTTCGTTCTTCATGAGAGCATTCATCTCCTCCTTCATTGCGGTTTCCCACTCGTCAACACCTTTTGCTTCATCATAAGATGTTGGCTCATCTTCATCTAATGGAGCTGCAAAGTAGCACGAGAAGGTAGTAACGAACTTTGGATCTCTGAACCGAGCAGGTTTAATGATGTCCATTTTAGGCCTTTGACTAGCCGTGGAACCATGATGTTCCTCCTCATCCTCTTCTTGATCAGTGCTCCCCCTTTCACCTTGCATCTCTTCTTCAGGACCTCTGTCTTTACTCAGAGCTGGTTTATCACTCGGGGAGGAACTCCCACCTTCTTGCTCAACTAAGACTTGAGGTGGCCCATAGAATGAGGAAACTTCATCAAAAACAACATCTCGAGACACTACGTACCTGTGTGTCTCTGGATCCATACACCTCCACCCTTTTCTTTGTTCGTCATAGCCAACGAAGATGCACTTCTTCGCCTTTGCCTCCAACTTGGTTCTTTGAGAATCGAACACATCGACGTAGCAGACTGATCCAAATATCCTGAGATGTTTCACTGACGGCTTCTTCCCATGAATCATCTCATAAGGAGACTTCATGTTATTTGGGCTGAGTGGCATCCGATTTATAATGTATGCTGCGCATCTCATGCCTTCCGCCCACAAGGCCTTAGGCAGATCCTTCCCATATAGCCAGCTTCTGCACGTCTCAGTTAGATGTCGGATCTTCCTTTCCGCTACTCCATTTTGTTGAGGTGTATACGGACAAGTAAACTCTCTCTTTATTCCATGCTTTTGACAAAAAGAGAGAAACTCCTTGGACATGAACTCCCCTCCATTATCCGTCCTTAAGGTCTTGATTCTCCGACCTAGCTCCCCTTCCACTGTAACCTTGAATTCTTGAAACTTGGAGAATACTTTTGATTTTTCCTTCACAAAGTATACCCAAGTGTGCCGTGAGAAGTCATCAATGAACAATAGCATGTACCGAAACTCAGAATATGAGGGTGTTCTTGTAGGACCCATCAAATCACTATGGATCATCTCCAACGGAGCACTGCACCGTGAAGTAGAATTGTCAAATGGAAGTCTATGTGATTTTCCATATTGACAACCTTCACAAAGCTTTCCTTCATCTTGGATCTTCAGCTTCGGAAGCCTATTTACCAACTCCTTATTCACCATAACCTTTAGCTTAGTCATGTTTATATGACCAAGTCGAGCATGCCATATAGAGGCATTGTCGTTTGTACTCATCTTCTCCATGTATGAGTTTGATGCAGATAAGACATATAGATCCTTAACCCGCGATCCGGTGTGAACCACATCCGCCTTTAACTCTTTAATATTCTTCAAGAATTTGACGTCTCTTGGGTCAAATAAAACGTAGTTACCTGAGTCTACTGCATTCACCACATAGAGAAGATTCTTCCTTACTCTAGGGACATGGTATACATTCTTGAGAGTGATAGGGCTTCCATCATCTCCTTCAATGATAACAGTCCCTTCCTTCTCGACCCGGTGAACTGAATTATCCACAGTAATTATGGCTTCTTTTCCGTCATGGCGCTGAAGACTAGAAAATAGCTTCTCGTCTCCGGTAATATGGTGGCTACAACCCGAATCCACAATCCAATCGTTTCCAAGATTTTTAGTTGTGGATATACCTGAAGATGCAGCCTCCACCGTGAAGCAACTGATCTAACGCCTGCCAAATGGAACTAGCGGATGTGCAACTTGAGCCATGCTCAAAGACTCCCGAGGATATTGACCTCTTCAATGCAAACTCCGCCTTGGCATTCTTCCGTGTCCACTCTTTTGTCGCTTCCGCTGTTGCAGCAGCTCCCCTTGGTGGTGTTGTGCTACTGCCGCCGACGACATCCCATAAGTCCTCACTCACCAAGTATGACTCCATGCATGACTTCTATAACCGGTAATTAAATTGGTTTAGAATCTCCATTCCCAATCCAACAATGCGACCCATTGACTCCATACTTAGAATAAATCTGAGATCTCAATTAATCCGATCTTGAAAAGAACCATATCAGAATCTGATACCATGTAAAGAAAACACCGAATAGTGCCAAGCACTAGCCCAAGACCGTAATACCCGAGAGACCCGAAAGAAACAAAGACCCTCTAAGTATGAATAATAAGATGAAAGAACACTTAGAGAAAACTTGAAAGAACTTTAGAGAGAATAAGAGAACTTATGAAGAACACTCTTTCTTTATTTGTTCAACTTCTCTTGTTTACAAATGATGGAGTAGTGGGCTATTTATAGGCTCCACTTATTACAAAATATCTTACAAACATTCTCCTAATCTCTAGAATTCTCTACAACAATATCTAAATTTTTAACTACAATATCTAGAATTATCTAGATATTTAACTAATAACACTTAAGAAAAACGATGATTTTTAATGATGTTTCTAGAGATTCCAGAACTTGGACTTAATTTTGGACATAATCTAATAACTAATAATTATTTTATAAACCCAAAATTAAGTTTAACCCAAAATCAAGTTTAACTTCAATACGATGGACATCGTGAGTGATTCCGATGGTGGTGATTGCGAACGTCGTCGTTTTCATTTATGTGATGTACGTCAACGATTGCCCTCACAGGAGCGATCGATGTCTCGGAAAATTCCTCGGACGTTTCTCCTTTGAGTCTTTCAAGACCAATCCTATATATAGTGAATTGGAGAGGAATTGTGAGATTTTTTGTCAATTCTAAGATTTTTTTTAAACACTGTGGTTAATCTTTAATGTATTGATATAGGTTTGAGAGGTATGTTGACTACGCACTTGATCTTCCAATGTGCCTTTTACATCGAAACAAAAGCTATCTTAACTGCAGAGGAATGACATTTCGGGTCTACTTCTTGGTCACGGAATAATATTAAAAGTTAAAACTTTTGTTATTCGTTTGGGCCGGTTTATGATCCCAGCATATTTCTTAATTTTGCAGGATTTTTTGTCCGGGAAAATTTCTCATTTCTCCCTCATTTCTCTCATGAACAAGCCACCATTAACGATTGGGAAACCCATATAGGAACAATATGGCCAGAGGTTGACTACTCGGTTTCAAGAACACCTTTCGTTTGAAATTCTCTGTTTCTTAATTACTGCGGTTTAGAGTCATTTTTCTTATGATTATGTTCTGTAACAAAACGATTAGGTCCGCTTAAAGAGATACTTGGAAATGAGAGGTGCTGATGGTGGCCCTTCGAGGATGTTGTGTGCCCTACCAGCTTTCTGGATAACTACATGTTGTCTCTTATAAAGATATACATACACAATATTGTTGCTTAATTCGAATGTATTTGAACCTCAGGAGGGTTTGCTATACGATGAGGAGTCTCTCTAAAATGTTCTTGATATGATATGTGATTGGACTTCTGAAGAAAGAGAAATTCTTAGGACACAAGTAAACTAGGAACAGAGAGCAGAATACCTTATTTTTCTGTGCAATATTATATCCTCCTTTAAATCAACTTTCCTTGGATGCCAACAGGTTCCAGTCACTGGCCTAAAGGCAATGTTTAGAGATGGTCCTTTGCAGCATGTCGCAGAAGATGTCCTAACGCTAGCAAAGGTCTTATGTGGAAATGCATGAAGATATATAAATAAAACTGTCCTCTTTGTGTGTGGAAAAAAATGGTAATTAGGGAATAATATATTAAATTTGTGAGTAGGTTGTTAAAGGGTTTGATAAACACACTCTGTGTTTTTTTAATAATCCTTGTCTATTAAAACTACAAAATATTTAAATTCTAACATAGAGTGGAATTGGATCCATAGTTCGGCGGTAGAGCATTTGGCAGTAGTTCAAGAAGTCTTCGAATTCAACCCGGTTAAGACCTTCTTCCCACCGAGAACGGTTATCTATTATATTTCCATCTTTAATCGATTTCTTGCAGATAAAGCTATCGTGTTCACATGATCGTCCCCTGGTTTAGCGTTTGGCAATCAGCACTGATATTCAAATTCGAGCTTTTTTCTTCTTTTAAAATTTTTAATTCTTTAGACTGCTATCCAAAATATTTACACTCCGTAGTAAAAGTTAGTATGTTGATCTTCCGATTCGGGATAACGCATAGTCTATTTAAACAGACGCATAGAGAGATGACAAAGAAAGAAGAACATTAGTCCGTAGAAAATGGAAAAAAAAAAACAAATACTAATTGCGTAAACAGATGACCATGTATCTAAGTCTCGACCAAAACAAAAAAGGACCACATGGTGGTGGCAATGAAAAGTCATAGTAAGCCGTCTCTAAGGAAAAGTATCTTGCGTAAGTATCTAAATGTCCAATTTAATGAATTTAGACACTTGGACCATGTAAAACATGCACAGTTATAAGTTTCAGAAAAGTAAGCATTCGAAATCCAAACTAATTAACTTGCTACAACTACAGCCTATAGAAATATAAGAACGTATGTATGTTTAGACTATCGAAAAATACTACAAAAAATGCAGGAAATACCATTTAGATATTCGATTTTGAATCGAGTGTTAATATGTTTTGATTTAGAGATATGAATCAAGTATCAAAATTCCATGATTTGATTTATCCCATAATTAGACTAGGAAACCATCGACGGGATTACATAAAATGAATGTGCTGATGTTTGAATTATTCAAATGGGTCTTTATAACTTATAATTATCTTATGTTAGTAAGCCTCTAGATGAAACGTACGTCGATTTTATTCAGAGCAACACGTATAGATCATAATTATTTATCACCACATTGATTATTATTGGGTTTTATACTGCTCCTATGATATTATAGCCCCTTGATGATCATTTTCACTCACGGACAGAAAATGACATTGTAGTTGGTTCCGGCAGGGCAAGTGAAGGGGCTGCTTGGATCATCCTTAGGGTAACTATAGGCGTCTGGACAACGTTGCTTGAAAAACATAGACAGTGGGGTCAATCCACAGTTACCGGAGTTGCAACAATGCTCCTCCGTCTTCAACACCAGACACGGTCCGTTGCAAGCACCGTCCATCCTTAGCTGGCTAGGGCATTGTGCTATGATATCTCCGGTACACCTGAAAATGCATATGATAATGTTTGTCTCACATTATAGTATATTTTAGCTAAATTTTTATGTATTAATCTTAGATTTAATTTACCTAATTTTGCGGCTAAACTGTCCAGATGCAGAACTGAACTCCATTGGAATTTTGAATCCATCGATCACCGAGATATCGATGAAATCTTGGTCTGCATATTGTTTAAGATGCATGTGTGGAAACTATAGTAACCACGATTACAAGTTATACAATGATGATGTTCGAAAATCAAAGATGCATTCTACTATACGACATAGAAGAAGATGAATCCATCCTCCTTATTAGCTTATACTAGACAATATGTAGAAATCTTTCTCATAATGCCTTGAATTCTTAATTTTCTGGTGTTTAAATTAAACGAGTTTTTATTTATTTTAATTTTTAATATTTATTAGGATTTAAATCAAAGTCTTGATATGATGTCTATATTAATATAAATCATTAGATTACAAATTTGATATTACTTGTATGTGTGTCTATCATACCCGGTATTGAGGGGAATGATATGTAATTCATTATTAATAGCGTTTACGAGAAGAGTGATCCATGCATAAAAGTCATCATTCGTTGGAAATGTGACCGCTGCTACTTTCACAAGTTATCCAAGTTTTGTTATGAATACGCGGCAGACTTGCAAGAATTAACAAGTCTACCGACTCTGAGGATGCCAAACATATTAAAATGAACTCAATGTTATTTTGGATACGAATAAGTGTCACATCCAGAAAAGAAAAATCAAACAATAAGAAAGAAATTGAAATAGTAACAAAAGGTTGAGATAAGTGGCTAAGTTATAGTTTAAAAAAAAATATACAAAAATTAAAAATTTAAAAATCATTTGTATTTTCTATTCTTTTAACTAAAAAATTGATCCAAGATTAAATGAGATTGTGAAATTTATATAGTAATCGATAGGAGCAAGATTATTATTTTTTGAATTTGTATATTTTTTTGTGTCATTTGTAACTTGCGACGATGACAGTGCCAAATTTAAATCAAAGTCAAGAATTAACAAGTCTACCGACTCTGAGGATGCCAAACATATTAAAATGAACTCAATGTGCATTCGTGCGCTAAGTAAAAGATCCTCTACCGATCCACGGATTGAAAATGCATAGAACGATGGCAAATTAAAAAGATAAATCCTAATGGAGAAAGAAGGTTAAGATGAATGAGTAGCACTTGTAATACCATATACAAGAATGTTTTTTTTATTAAAAATTAAAATAAAAAAACTCGTTTAATTTAAACACCAACAAATTAAGAATTTAAGACATTATGAGAAAGATGTCTACATATTGTCTAGTATAAGCTAATAAGGAGGATGGATTCATCTTCTTCTAGGTCGTAGTAGAATGCATCTTTGATTTTCGAACATAATTATTGTATAACTTGTAATTGTGGTTACTATAGTTTCCACACATGTCAGAGTAAGAAGAGGCATCCCACGACAGAGAGAAAGATAACAATGAGGAAAAAGATCATCACTGAGAACAGAAGTATCAATCATATGTCGACCCATTCCAGTGACCCCTTTGATGGATACTCCATTGACGTGTATTTAATTATGCAACAACGAAAAAAAATAGCAAAAGAAAGTAAAACAACTAAAATTATTGTGATCAGCTGCATCCTAAAATTAAAAGTATTTATGATTTTTTTGTTAGTTTGTTGACTTCTTCTTGGAAAGAACGCAAGTGTTTTTAGCTAGCCCATCATCTATGTAACTGAACTGCAATGAATGGTTAATTAGTTCGATCAAGTCTCTTTCATCTTCCACTTGTACCGGTACTTCCACTAGCCCTGCAAGCCTTCATGCTCTAGTAGCTCCCCCTTCTTAATATTCAGCCCTAGCTTTGACCACTTCAGGTGATTTCTATAGACAACAGAATTTCAGTGATTTCTATGACCACTTCAGGTTTTTTTCGTTGTTCTTGCGCCATCTATTAGTGGGTTTGTGCTCTAGCTATAAAAAACTGACAATTTGATTTCATTGGTCTTGTCGTATACCATCTCTTGGTCTTTTGTTCCCTTAGGGTGCGGTTTTTACACAGCTTTTGACTTTCTCAAACTCCTTTATTCCAATGAACTGTTTCTTCTTTTTTCCAATGTATATATATATATATATATATATATATGTCGCCTACAATGCAGCTTGAACTGGTCATCAGGATTACGATACACATTATCGGACCCAAGGAACAGATGTGGCCGATGTAAGAAAAGTGGAGCCAAAATGTTCATGTTGTGCGTGGTCAAATAAGATAAAATTACTGCATAGTCAAAATAATATCAAATTAACATTAGTTAAAATTGTAATAGTGTACTCACATTGAAATGTGGGTGATGATGTTATTAAACATCGTCCCAATTATGATTCCAAGCAAGTTTATAAATCCACCCAAGAAGGTGAACTTCATCTGATGGTTTCCAAGTGTCACCACATAGGCAACAATCGCCATAAAAGTCCTCATCAATGCCCTGAGCTCAGCTCCAATGATTATTCCTATAGGAGCTATGATTTTTTGGAACCAATCGGGAAGCTTATCCACCATCTTCTGCAAGGGTGAATCAGTGGAATGGTTTCTCAGTAAAACACATAGAATAAAGTTCTCAAAAGAGGAACTGTAGTTAAAGATGTTGTTCTGATTATTCACAAAATACTACATAGACATATATTGGTACAGTGAATCCTATAGAATAGACTAAATACAGGTGTTTAAAAAATACGAGTAATTGAGTTATATTTTTTCCCAACGTTCTAGCCAACTAAGTTTATCCTTATGATGCTGCAATATCTTTTATGTATTTTAATGAGTATATGTGTCAAAGGAATTGAAACTACTATGAAAATGAGTGAGCCATCACATCTAAGTTTCCAAGCAAGATGGAAACAACTAGAGTAATCCCTTTATATGAAGTTTGTTGCATAGGTCAACTTTTTTTTATAGGAATCATCGTTTAAATTGGTTACTCCAAATCAATAACAATTTGAAATTAAACTACTTCACCATTATTTATGGATATAGATCAAAGTCAAAACAACAAAACAGTAACATGTCTTGAAAGTCTTCTACTTCTACCAACAACATTACAACAAAACAGTAACATGTCTTGAAAGTCTTCTACTTCTACTTAGAACAAATATTAAACCTTCTTTCCTACAAATGGGATGAGTAGTGGAGCACCTGCTTCTAGACCTATACCAGTCACGGCTATGATAACAATGTAAACTCCTTGACACTTATGGATCTTGTAGATGATAGTCTAGAAGTAAGCAAAGACCATCTTCAATACCAAAGCTATACTTCATGTGATAATATCTCTTAGGCCCCATGGATGAATAAACCATCTTATCAAGAGGGGGACTAAACCTCCAAAAATGACCCAAAGAAGAGATGTGGCCGATGTAAGAAAAGTGGAGCCAAAATGTGCATGTTGTGCCTGGTCAAATAAGATAAGGTTACTGCATAGTCAAAATAATATCAAATTAAGATTAGTTAAAATTGTAATAGTGTACTCACCATTGAAATGTGGGTGACGATGTTATTAAACATCGTCCCAATTATCATCCCAAACAAGTTTATAAACCCACCCAAGAAGGTGATCTTCATCTGACAGTTTCCAAGTGTCACCACATAGGCAACAATCGCCACAAAAGTCTCCATCAATGTCTAGAGCTCAGCTCCACTGATTCCTCCTATAGGAGCTATGATTTTTTGGAACTAATCAGGAAGCTTATCCACCATCTTCTGCAAGGGTGGATCAGTGGAGTGGTTTGCCTGTAAATCACCTAGAAGGAAGTTCTGAAAAGAGGAAATTGTAGTTAAAGATGTTGTTCTGATTAGTCACAAAATATTACATAGACATATACTGGTAGAGCGAAATCTATATAATACACTAAATACAGGTGTTTGAGAAATATGAGTAATTAAGTTACATTTTTGCCCAACGTTTGAACCAACTAGGTTTATCATCATGATGCTACAATATCTTGTATGTATGTTAATGAGTCTATGTGTCAAAGAAATTGAAGCTACAATGAAAATGAATGAACCATCACATCTAAGTTTCCAAGCAAGATGGAAACAAACTAGAGTCCAACCCCCCCCCCCCCACCCCCCCCCCCCCCCCCCCCCCCCCCCCCCCCCCCCCCCCCCCCCCCACCCCCCCCCCCCCCCCCCCACCCCCCCCCCCCCCCCCCCCCCCCCCCCCCCCCCCCCCCCCCCCCCCCCCCCCCCCCCCCCCCCCCCCCCCCCCCCCCCCCCCCCCCCCCCCCCCCCCCCCCCCCCCCCCCCCCCCCCCCCCCCCCCCCCCCCCCCCCCCCCCCCCCCCCCCCCCCCCCCCCCCCCCCCCCCCCCCCCCCCCCCCCCCCCCCCCCCCCCCCCCCCCCCCCCACCCCCCCCCCCCCCCCCCCCCCCCCCCCCCCCCCCCCCCCCCCCCCCCCCCCCCCCCCCCCCCCCCCCCCCCCCCCCCCCCCCCCCCCCCCCCCCCCCCCCCCCACCCCCCCCCACCCCACCCCCACCCCCCCCCCCCCCCCCCCCCCCCCCCCCCCCCCCCCCCCCCCCCCCCCCCCCCCCCCCCCCCCCCCCCCCCCCCCCACCCACCCCCCCCCCCCCCCCCCCCCCCCCCACCCACCCCACCCCCCCCCCCCCCCCCCCCCCCCCCCCCCCCCCCCAAACCCCCCCCCCAAAAACCCCCCCCCCCCCCCCCCCCCCCCCCCCCCCCCCCCCACCCACCCCCCCCCCCCACCCCCCCCCCCCCCCCCCCCCCCCCCCCCCCCCCCCCCCCCCCCCCCCCCCCCCCCCCCCCCCCCCCCCCCCCCCCCCCCCCCCCCCCCCCCCCCCCCCCCCCCCCCCCCCCCCCCCCCCCCCCCCCCCCCCCCCCCCCCCCCCCCCCCCCCCCACCCCCCAGCACCCACCCCACCCCCCCACCCCCCCCCCCCCCCCCCCCCCCCCCCCACCCCCCCCCCCCCCCCCCCCCCCCCCCCCCCACCCCCCCCCCACCCCCCCCCCCCCCCCCCCCCCCCCCCCCCCCCCCCCCCCCCCCCCCCCCCCCCCCCCGATCCCTTTATATGAAGCTTGTTGCATAGGTCAACGTTTTCTTATAGGAAACATCGTTCAAACAAGTTATTCGAAATCAATAACGTTTTGAAATTAAACCACTTCACCATTATTTATGT